TTTTGTTAGCCTGTTTTCACTGAAGCTGGGGTTCTCCTTCAAAATAAAAGCTCTACTACCGTTTCCATCAAAATAAAAGCTTAAAAGTGCAGTAAGAATTGCTGACAGCTAGCAGTTTAAATGGTTAATGTTACTACAGTCCAAATTCAAAATATCTCTTTCAAGTGTAGAAATTAGGGAAGAAGTATTGTAATTTCCCTACTGTAATGTAAAGCAAAAATAATATACTTATGAAATTGTCATTTTCATTTATTTTACAGTGCAATTGTTTTACAATATATGGCTATTACTGTCATTGTTGTTATTATTATATTCTTATTTGTTTGGCTTCCTAAAATGCCAGTGTGAATGTAATTTAGACTGAGACAGTAGCCTATACCACAACTAAAAAGAGGGTTGAGTCCCCTTTAAAGTTCAAGGTACAAGTCAATTAACTGACCCTTTTTTTTTTTTTTTCTCCAGTGAGGTTTGCTTGGTTAAGAACATGGGTTGGAGTTCTTAATTTTGAACTCTCAAAGTGAATTAGATAGAATAATTTAACTTTAACCCTAAAAAGGGCAAACCCATAAAGAGACATCATAAAATCAATTTAAAGCTATTTTTTTTATTGGGTCTCAAATAATAAAATTTCATGATTTGTTTTTTTCAAAAATGTACTCTTATGTTTGATTTTAATGTTTGTATCCGCTAGGATACGTTGCTCCTTTGGGGGTATAAATTCACTGGAAACAACACTTGTTTATCAATGCTTGTTACAGCATGGTTGTAATTCCTGAATGTTTTGGAGTACAGACCTAACGTTGGTCTCTTTTTAAAGAAGACACATAGCAGATTATTGCTGAAGTGAAAGCATTTTTAAAAAATAAAGTATGAAAAAGTTATAAAAGTTTAAGTTTACAGTAAAGATAATGTAGTATACTAATTGTTTTTATTTTATATAAAATAAATATTTTATAAAATGTCGCACTCTAAAATTGCTATAAAATCAAAGCCATATGTCTAACTGATATATGTTCCAAATTTGAAGTTGATATCACAAAAATTGTGGTTCCTGTGAGATTTTCTTTGGGCACTATACCAAAAATAACCACTTGGTTACACCCAAACTCTGTTTAATTTTTCTAATGCAGTTTTCTGTCACAAATCAATCATTTTCGGTCACAATATCACATCTATTACAAAACAGTCACCAAATATGGAATCTTGGCTGTCAGACTTTTCCAACGATATGCGTTTTGTCAAGATTACAAAAATAATTGATTTTCTAAAAGTAAAACGCAAGCCACAAAGTCACACAGTTTATAATTGGTTTTTTTCTTGATTTGTACCCCTAAAAGGGTGACGTATCCCCTGAGATACAAACATTTAGAGACAGATTACAAAAAATATAAGCATTTAATTTATAAAATTTCAATGTAAACCTAATAAGCTAATGCTGAACAACAGCTTTTTAAACAGGTAAGTCCCCTCCAACATGTGTAAATATGTGAACTAGATCAACTTTTATCGGAGGGTGAGTAGATTTCCCACTACAGGTGCCCATGCAGGTTTAAATGTTGCCCGTGAGCTAAACAAAGAATGGAGAAACAAGTCCCCTCATCTAAATATTCACAACAAACACCCTTTCAAGATGAATCCAAGAAATGAGACCTATGCTTTCACTGCTTCTCCCCACAGCTTCTCAAATGTTTGTATCCCCCAGGATACGTCGCCCCTTTTAGGTTTAAAATGTACAAAACTTAAAACATTTTCCCCGAACATTTTTTTTTTTTATATTGCGATAAAATATTGTACTGTTATGAACTTTTTCTCCCTTTTTTTTGTCCAAAAATAATATTTTTGTGTGTATTGAACACAGACATTTGTGCATCTGTTCATATTCAGAATAGCCATTTAGAGGTCCGACCAAACAAAATGCCTATATCAAATTTTACATGCCAACCAGTTAAGTAAATTTCACAGCATTAAACATATTACATTCAACTGATTTTTATTCAGTTACGATGAATTGAATGCATTAAATTTTAAGGCACCTCTATACCTCACTTTTTGGGCAAATTCTACCGTGACACACATCTACAGACCCACTGCAGTCTCTGGCCTTCTGACAGTAAAAATTAATCAAAAAGTCGCGTTTGACTCCCATGATCCTCCTGTCCAACCTCCGTCACCAACGTTCTCAGTGGCTCCTTGAGCGGATTATATCGCACTCATGCATTGTGTCTGCACGCAGTGTGCGTGGGGTGCTTTTTCTTTGTGTATATCGGCGCATACGCGTGTGTGAAATGAGAGACATTTAGATGCAGACTCTGAGTCTGATCTACATGTAAACCACAGTCCTCCGCCTGATTGCAGCTACTGAGTTAAATGTGGAGGCAATTTCATGCACGGCAGGAGTCCTTCCATAATAAAACAGTTTTTTCTGCAATTTTGAAAAAATTAGATATCCCATATCAATGACTTCCAAATCATGTTGAACTCTGATTTCATTCTTTTCATGAAGAGCAATTCATAACGTCTGTTAGGCAAGCCCTTTTGCTCCCTCCGTTCCATTTCCTCCTCTCTCTCCTTCGCATCTGTTGCTCTCTGTATCTCTTGCTCTTTCTAATTCGCTCTCCCTCTCTGCCTTGTCTCCTCTTAAGTGTGGGCAGTGTGATTATGTTCAGGCAGTAATGTAATTTCACTGCATTGATAAAATAGAAATTGTCCTTTAGCTGTGTACTGATAGTGCTCAATTTGCAGGCGAGCTCCTCTGCAACCTCTTCAGGGCACGACGCGCGTGCCCTCCCCCAGCCCTCCTCCCCCACGCTCTGCCTGCCTTGAGCTGCTGGAAATCCGCGGGTGCGATTGTCAAATCAATTATTCATTCTGTGCAATTACACTCGCACAAAGAACTTTTCTCTGCTCGGAATGATGATTAAATTAAAAGCTATTCCAGCTGCCTGATAACATCTAATAGAATATTCATAAGCAGCCCAAATGGAATGTATGATCCCCATTAACTTCATCATGCTCACTTAATTACATGCTTGTTATTGTATTTACACCTTGTTAGAGCACATGGAAGCTGATACACTCTCTCTCTCCGGACTGTCTTCGCCGTCCTCTTGTCGCACCCGCCACTTTCTCTTTTTTCGTCCGTTCTTTCGTTCCGTATTCCACTCTTTCTTCTGTCTGCTCCACTTTTTTCTCACGTCGTCCCTCACTATCTCTTCACATCTTTTCTCCCTCTTAAAAATGCTATTTATTTTAAACGCGACCCCTGCCGGGCCGGGAGGGAACGCGAGGTCTCTGACAACCTCTGTGGCTTTTAGGTTTCTTTTATACATTCTGCACACAGTGATTGAGGGAAAAGAATGAAGAGGAGAATGAGGGAAAGAGAAAAAAATTATTTTCTCCCACCTTTCAAAAATGATGACATGATTGCTTTCCCTTGATCATGCATCATCATCTTTCTTCAGCCCCCCCTTTTTCTTCTTTCCTCAGGTAAATAGTCCCCCTCTCCCTATTCCATGTGCCAGCATTCGGTTTTCTTTCACGTCTCTTTCTTCTTCTAGAGGTAAAAATGTGTGCACGATAATGGTAAGCAGCTCTGCAGATGGTGCGTTTGGAATGCTATCCCCTTTTTTTTGATGTTCGTGTTTGGCCACTTTCTACGATTGACCTTTCTTCCCCCATGGGGCAACTCTGTAACTCTGTTTGCACTACACCTGCTAATGGAGATGAACTGTGATTGAGTCCTAGACCACCAGTTGGGTGTTCAGCAACATTTAGGAGGCATGGATTCAGTCATCTTTCCAGCATAAAAAACGTTTTGTGTTAATAAAAGGTGCAGGGTCGTAACATATTCTCAAGGTACATTCATGTAAATTCTCATCTTGGCTCTTTCTTCTCAAAGCAAAGACTTTTAACAAAAGTCTTTGGTTAAAGGCTTTTGATTCAGTCTGTAATTCTCATTCAGTCCTGCTAGCCTGCCGGTGACTCCTCTATCGTCTCTATGGTATTGAAGGCCCTCCTGATGGGATAAATTACCTTGTATATCGACCCGATTGCATGACCCCGTGGCCCCCTGGCAGAAGAGTCTATTTAGCTTCTGCAGACACCTAGCCCCTCTCGCCAGCACTCTAGCCTAAAACTGCCTGGATTGCTGGTTCCTTATCGATTCTCAAAGACTTTCATTTGAAATGATACTTGATAGACCTCCTCAAGCACATGTCCTTGAGCATAGTTCGATATTATGCCTGATATTTTTCGTTTCGTATCAGTTTTGACTCGTTATGGATCGACTCCAGCCCTGCCTGCTACCGGGCTAGTGTGATTTGTAGTTGCATGTAGGTGGAAGTAAATAAATATCTGATTAAAATGTATTTGTAGCCAAATGTATGGCTGGAAAAATGTCATATGATGACTTTCATAAAATACTGTTTTAATATATTAAGTTATTTAGTATAATCAAAACTTTTTGGTATACACTACTTGTCCTTTTCAGTAGAGTTTTACTAGTGAATTTGATAGCTTTTTTTTTGTTGTTTGTTTTTTGGCCCCTTGTGCTTTTTAAAGACCGGTTGTACTTTAACATGCAAACTAGTCAAGCTTTACCTCTGAACTCCATAAAAAATTTTTTTTTTTTTTTTTAAAGAATGACATTCAATAAATGATAAAAAATAAAAAAAATTGCATCTTACTACGGATTTTCACTATCACTTTGCTACAGCGACTATATTCTCTTTAAAAACAAAATGTGTATTATTAAATGCAAAGTAATTTTCCATAATTTTATTTTAATTGTTTGGCCTTAGCAAAATCACAATGTGTCAGTTATGTAATATTGCCTTTATAATATCATGCTTTTTATTTATTTTTGATAGTTTAAATGGATGTTTATACATTGAAAATATATAGCCTCTTTTATGTTTTAGGTAAGAACAAGGGGGATCATAATGGCAACAAAAGGTTTTAGAAGTCTGGTGATTTTAAATTTTGTCTCATTCTCTTCTCAGAGAAATTCAAGAATAGCTGGAAAGAAGAAAAGGATGTATACAAAATGCTGAAGGATGTAACAGACAGCGTCCTCTCCACAAGCGGGTACTCTGAGGTCAACCTCGCCAAACTTTTCCAGGCCTTTACAGCCCTCAAGTATTGACCAACTGTCCTGAAGCGAACCTGGGTAATCAAATATGGCATAATATTTATGCTTATCCTCCCACCAAGAGAAACCGTACAATGTTATGTTTTCATCTTTTAATTCCTGTCTGCTGTAAATACACCTTGTGATTCTGTAATCTATGCTATTTTCTAGCTCACTCGCTTTGCATTTGTAATCCCTGACAGTGTTTTTGTGCCTGACGGCTTGGACATGAATTAAGGTCAAATGTGACGAGCTCACAGTCAATCTGCATGTAATCACCAAACCTTTCCATGTTTGAGCACCTGTCTCTCGCTCTAATCTGTGTTCTTGTGTCCCATCCCATTTAGCCTTTGTCCAGGTCTAATCGATGATGAATCTGTGGTAAAATGGCCATGATAAGGGGCTAAAGACGCTCTCAACACAAACCCAGCCCCCCACTCCCCTGGTAGCACCACACACACTGGGTTTTTAGAGATAACAATCAGGGGTAATGACAGGCAAGTTCATGGGGGGCTTGTAGCGGTTTGAAGGGGTCTTAGTTCAGTAATGACTTCTCTACTACCCCCTTCATCTTTAACAGCACAGCAATTAGCCAATGATACAGAGGTAGCCAGTGATTTGTGGAGTTTCAAACGTGTTTGAAATGCTCTCAGCTGGTATGTTGCAAATTTATTAGACGGATGGCATCGTTGTGGCAGCTTGTGTTGCATATTTTGAATGTTTATTGCTTATAAAAGTGTCTCAAGATTCTTAATTGTTTTTGATATGGAAACATCAATAAAATTATTTCATAAAATGTTCACATTTCCTCCCCCCCCCCCCCCCCTTTTTTGATTATTTTATTTCACCATGCTGCAGGGAGTGATGACATTTACACATTTGAAGAGGGCGCGTTAACTTCTCCAAATGGAAGGCTCCTTTTTCAAGACCTGGAGAATGGCAAGCCAAGAGTGTGTGAAAGCGAGGAGATTAGTCTACTTAAATCGAGTCGGTTTTAAGAATGTGGTGCTTCACTCGCTCATTCCATGTGTTTATAATGACAGTTAGACGATGTCTTAAACCATTTCATCAGATGTCAATTTCCATAAATGCCATGCTTGAAAAAAATCGCCTTAAATGGCTGCGACTAATGGCACCGACCTTGGAGAGTGCAGCAACACTTAAGAGCTACTTTCTGTCCGCAGCTTGACAGAAGGCATTTTGCACATTGTAGGCCTATGCTGCTGATGTATTAAACTCATATTGGCCTATATATACATTTAGCTTAATGTGTGCTCCAGAACGAAACTTAACAAATGCAGGTACTTCCTGAATGTTATGTCGCACTTTTATGAGATTAAGTCATCGCATGATGTGGGGCTTTCAACAGGACATTCCTTTAACCGCGAACGCGCTTTTGTCATGCCCGCGGAGGCCGTTTTCAAACTGGGCCACTCAATGCAGACGAGGCTTTGCATTAATTTACCCCACTAAGCTAATAAGAATGATTCGTTTTTGTTATGCTAAGCTTTATTGCCTGTCTTTTTGACCAGAATGGTGGTGTTGAGCAAAGCGGTGGACAAGGTTCTCTTTGATGAGGGAATTAGTGCCCTATTCTTTCTCTATTATTCATGGCATCGTGGAATATGTAAGTACCCGTGGGTGTCAAAAGGAAAGCCGGCCCTATTGCAAAGTGCTCCTCTTGTTTCTCTGAATAGCAGGCTATGAGATGATAAACCGCTTAATACACTGGTCTAATTGGATGAGGGTAAAAGAGACGAAGGAATTAAGGCACGCCAAAAGGGGACAGGGTTCCAGTGGCCCGCCATTCAGCCCTTTTCACCGTGATTTCTTACTCTACTGCTCCAATAGGAGACGAAAGGCTCATCAAAGCGCCTTTAGTGCTTTCACCTACCCCCGGTGTCTCGAGCTGTGCCGGGATGGAAAAGCATGATTATTCACTGGTTGTTGAAGCACAGCCCAGTGAGCTAAAATCAAGGGAATGCATGTGAAATTTTACCATGCATTTATGAACTCTCAATGTACACGTATTTTGATATTTCATGTTGTTTTAGTGTCTTGGGAACATGTAAACAATGACTTTTAAAAGTTACCATTTGACACAAGAAAAAAAAATCCAGTATTTTTTTCTACGAAGATGCCGTTTTGACAAAGATTTTTATATTCTCTCTCCTGTTTATTCTTTTAATGTATTATTTGATCTGTTGTATTTTAAATATATATATATATATATATATATATTCTAATAGACATATTTTACCAAAGGGATGTAAGGTATCCACCCTGCTACCATCATAAGGATTATTAAAATGATGCACAATTCCATAAAATATTTTCATAATGAACTCTGAAGGACAAGGGTTTGTCAGTATAATATGATTTTAAAAAATGGAACGCTGCTACCAAGATTTTGTACAGTAAACTGTATTTACAGATTTAAAACATTATTTTTTTTCTAATAGAAGCATTGTCGTGACCTTGAGCACAAGACTAAAATAGCTATACAACTTAACTTTTTTGAAGACCGATATATTCATATATATATTACAGTGTATATATATGTATAATTTATTAACATTTAAAACCATTTTTGTCTGATAGAATGTTTCAATTTAGTTTTGAATTGCTTTTTGAAAATGAAGCATGCACTCGTTTTGCTGGAATGACTTGGTGCCTGTGATTTTTATTGGTGGTTCCCAAGCAGGTGTTTTGGCACTCTTGAGCATACTTTGTGGTCAGAACGTTGGCAATGAATCATCTACACACTCTCAAATTTAGTCTCCACAAAGCCTGTTTCTTCATTCATTCATGCATTGTAAGAAAAGAGTTAAAGAGAAAGTCGCCCTAAGCACTTCGGGTCAATGCCTCTACAATTGTGGCGAGCATTCCCCAGATATTACGAGCAAATTGGTTTGCGATTCATTAATAATGTTCACAATAAGATTAAGGCATTCTGGAAAATCTCATAAAAATCCCAACAGAAGTGGACTGCACGCTCCAGTGGTCCCTTCCACAAATAGAGGGGGGGGGGGGGGGGGAGAGTATGCACCTCGCTTGGAGGTATGGCACTGAAGAGAAAATTGGTTTCCTTTGCTTAATGCTCCTTTGAACATATTCTCGCATGCCAACATGTTCAATATGGACTTGCTGCGAGAGGGGGGTCCTTAACGCGCGATATTTAGGAGAAGGATTTGTTGGGCGTTATAGGAGCACTGATCCCCCATGCACGCCTCCCAACCCGTCTTCATTTCGTTCCTTCCATCGTTGCTGATCCTGCTTGTTTGTGGCGTCATAATGAAACGGATTAGTGCGGGTAAAACAAGGAAAGGAGAAATCTTTTCAGCGGCGCGCGCGATAAAGAAGAAAATAATCCTTGAGGTAATTTCACGCGATTTGGCTCGACACCATGGACGGGTCAAATTGGCGAAAATGACTTCGTTTGAATGGAGCGCATTGATTGCAGTAATGGCATCGCTTCGCGCGTGAGATCCAACGGAGAGGGATTTGGGGAATTAAATAAGGAATTCGAAAGAAAGACTTTTTGATAAACTGCTTGTTACTTCATTAATGAGAAAGGGACTTAGCGGAGTTGGGCATTTACAGATGTTGCGTCCAATTTAGCGCCTCTACATGTTAAGGCCTACAGCGGATGAGATGGCGGAATAATTACAAGCCGCTTTTTGTCGAGGCTTGAAGAATAGAGCCGTCATGAATATCATCATCTGACTAAATACAAATAAATACGTTATTTTGGTTATGCTCGACATGAATTATTCTCAATCATTTACAGCAAACTGAAACGAGCAAAAAAGGCTCTTTTCACGACATGGATGTTTATGATTGCAGTTAGCCACACTGAACTGCTGTTGATTCATTTTTAAGTGACCACTTAAATTGTTTTCTCTTATTGGTGACTCCAGGCTCCCCACCGAATTGCCCATTTACTTCTAGAAATAAATTCTTATGGCAATAAATCGGCACTATAAAAGCATATATATATGAGTATGATCATTAAATAAAATGAATTTAAATAATTTCCCGCCTATTCAAGCATTTACGATAAAATATTAGGCCTGGTTATATTTTGCAACAGATGTTTTTTTGTGATCGACATTTAATTTCTCCAAATATATATTATTTAAAATATATAATGATGTAGTTAAGCTTTATTTGCTTTATTTTAGAACTGCAGAAATATTTCGTTTTCCAAGTAGGCTATAGCCTACTAATGGTGTTTTGTTTAATTTTTTACATTTTTTAAAAAGATGACAATAAAATGATTGATAACCTTTAAAAAGTGTAAACTTATTTCAGTAAATTCAGTTCGCATTATCAGTTGTAAATAATACAGAAGGGTCTATGTTTCACCAGTTTCTTTTATTCCGACTTGGTCCCTGCGCGCGACAGGGAAAATTCTCACTGAATAGCAAAACTTCCCGGTCTGGATTTCAAGCTCTCTACCGGGCAGACATAAATAATCATCTAAAAATCTCAAATTTGAATTAAACGAACAAAGGATGAATCTACGTGAACCCATTCCTACATTACTACACCGAGAGCATATTCTCAAAACATCTTTTGAAAGAAACTATTTTTTTCTTGTCATTTTGCCCCCATTTTCATTCCTTTTTTAAACAGAGCTATATATACAGGATACCCTTAACAGATCAGTAAACAGGCTAAAGTTTAGATTTTCACATTGTTCATCCTTAAAACAAACAAAAACATTTATTTTTCATAATTTTTTTCTAAATATCATATTTAACATAAGAGTTGGAAACGAACAGAAAGTAAAGCTGAGTATTCGTTTTCAGAAATTTGATTTGTTTTGCCAATCTTGAGGCCAAACGTGAATGGATATGGTTCAGGTTGGGTGGCAGTTCCCTTTGGCATGTTGACCCATCTCTGCTTCAGCACTGAGAGAAGACTAGGAAGAAATGTCGAGTTCTGTGTGTATTGCAGTGTGGTTCCAATGATTCTTCTCTGTGTGGGGTGTACAGTAAATGTGTCTTTTACCCCAATTGCTCCTGACCCAAAGACCCGACTTATTCAATGACTTTACCAAGCATAGCCTCCCTAACTTACCCTCTGAGATGCCTACATTACACTCAGAATCTTTATGTTCAGGGTTTTGAAACATGTTTGGTGCACTGTGTCAATTATAGTGATGATGTCCAGTGGGAGGCGCAGTGACTTGGTGACGACTCCAGTGTCAAACGGGTCTCCGGTGTACTAGTGCTATATGGATTTGGTCGTGCTTTTTGTTGAGATGGTTTCTTTAATATTTTGTTTTGTTTTTAAGGAGAAGGATCAGCACACTTCCTTCCCCGCAGTGCCGGACGGCAGGATGTTCAGTTGGGTCAACTGGGCTGAATGTTCCTTTGCTTTGAGACGCAGAGCTGCGATGCTGGATGCCCTGCGGTCGGCGGCCGTAGAGGATGAGGAAGAAGGTGGTTCTGGTAGGGTTGTCGGCGGCTGCACTGGAACCTCCACTGGCGGTGCAGTTTGGCGCAAGAGAGCGGCGGCCGTGGAAGCACTGGTCAGAGGACCCAGACTTGAGAATAGTCTAAACAGAAGAGAGCGTTCCTGTGATACAATGTACAGCACTCATGCTCACACCAGTGATTATACAGCTAATATTTAGGTTTAGCATCAGTCAGATGAGTCCAGGGTACAACAGAAGAGCCATGGGCATTTATTAGATGTGGTAATTACTCTTAGAAATAAAGGTTCTTTATTGCCATATGGTTCCATGAGGAACCTTTAACATCAATGGAATCTTGACATTGCACAAAAGGATCTTCAGACTGGAAAAAGGTTCTTTAGATTTTTTAAATGTTCTTCACACTAAGAAAAATGGTTCTTCTAAGAATTGTTCACTGATAGGTTCTTTGGAGAATCCAAAATGGTTCTTCTATGGCATCACTGCAAAAGCTTTTGGAGGCTTATCGCAAATGGTCTTTACCTGCCAAAAGTAGGTCCGATGAAGGCCGGATGCCTGAACATCGCTGTGCCCAGGAAGGTTCCTAGGCCGAGGGGTGTGGCAGGAGGGAGGGCGGAGCTGTTTGGGGGCGGTGCCAGGCCTGGGAATGCGGCAGCAGCTGCTGCTGCGGCGGTCCACGCTGACTCCAGAGCTGGGTGAGGGTGAGGTGGGAAGGGTCCTCCTTCCAGGTAATGACTCAGGGGGTGAGCGGCTGCCAGCGGCCCAGGAAAGTGCAAGCCCGTGGGGTGAGCCTGGACACCTGCCTTTTCACGTTTCCTCCACTTCGCTCTTCGGTTTTGAAACCAAACCTAAGAGTTGGGAGAGAAGCCTCATCAAAGTCCAAACTTTACTAATAACTGCTGGTGTTCAGATGAATGCATCTATGCGATTAAGTTTGGAGTGAGGAACACGCTTAAATAGCTGGCTTTGAGAAGTTGTCCCTTCCCGTTTCGGATCCAGAGCCATTAATATTCCACCTGACGGCCTGCATGGTCATTTAAGCATGAGCTTGTCGCTCTTGTTCATGTGCAATATTTGGTTCGCTTTAATGAGGTGACAAATAGGCTGGAAGTCAAGGGTAATTATATGGCCCCAAACTTACGGTCTGTTACCCTAACTTTGCTAATTAAAATCTGGTTCGGGCAGTGCAAAAAAACGGGGTGGAGCGTGGTAATTAAGAGCCGTGTTAACAAAAGATGTCGGAATAACAGCTGAACGGCATCCAATAACAATTAATGCACTTTAAATTAAATTCCTCCAAATGTAAGTTGCTTGAAAAGGCTATTTAACTTTCCCACGATACCCCTTCTGTCCTGCTAAACCCCACCAGGTTGTGCGGCAAGGACACGACCTGCAGACAGGGACTTCATAATGAAGGATAGTGTCAACAGACAAACCAACAGGGACCTCGGCCCCTTTCACACATGCTCCAGACCGTTTTGCATTACGTGGCCCCTGGGGCATTTATTAGCTATATCACCTCCTGATCAAGCCTGTTAAGTGATTTGTTCTCCCACATCTCCAAATTGACATCTGTTGTTTTACATGGCCAATAACCCTGGTAGCTTCCTCATGTTTGCACTGTCTCTTTGGTTATGAGAGTTGGGCTTGAACATGCGAGCCACGCTTTGAATAGAGAAAGGAGGGGTGGCAAACACCCTTAATAGTCTCTCACTCGTTCCAAGTGCAAAGCATCGGATCAATGCCGGTCTATTGCAATCACAAAATGGGAAATCAAATAGCATTATCCCTCTACCCCTCCCTCTCCCCCGCGCCGGCGATGAGAATTCAAACACAATTTTCTCCCTGGAATAGCAGTGTTTGCTCTCTCGCTAAGTGCGCTTTTATGAATCAGGGGCGTCTGTGTAATTGCCGCTAAAATGTTCGCTCTATTGTGTATAATAACTTTCGATAACAGGAGAGACCTTGCCATGACGTACAGGGTCATTTAACCAAGTTTACGATTGTCACTTTAAAATGAAATTAAATATAGACCATTAGGTATATTGTCTTACCGTCTATAAGTAAGCAAATTGCAAGAATTCGCAGGCTCACATCATTTAGTTCATCTTTACCTTCAAAATGTCGACAAGTTGTCATATTACAGGCAATTTCTCTCAATTCGCGGCAATTTAAATGCTTTTAACATCTGAATGGAGTCAAAGTTCTCAATTGTGTTTCATACAGTTCTCGTTAATATTATTATGCATTTAAATTCGATATATTTAATGTTTTATTTTTGTGCTCGAAAGGAAGAAAAGTAAGCACTCACTTGCACGCGCGCTTCTGTCAGATCCAGCCTCATCGCGAGCTCCTCTCTGGAATAGAAAACAGAGATCATCTAAATGTGTGCAGGGATTTTTTTAAACCCACAAAAACACCGCAAGAAAACAGATTTTGCCTAAATTGTCAGAAACCTATGAAAGCAATTTGGGGCTGATGAGAATCGAACGGATAACTTGTACGTTTTTATAATGGGTCGTTTCGACTGTAACAACATAATGATGGAAATAATGGCATCTAGACTATTATATGAAAATTGAGCATTTACTGAAAATATACCTGGCTAAATTGATGACAATTATCTACCACGTCAATATAAACATCGATATTTCATGATCAACAACGAACATTTTGGTTAAAGAAAAACGGTCCTCGGGTAAATCTGTCATTAGGCAGACTGATGTTTTTTATTTGATAGACTTATGTTGTCTGGCATATTGATTATTGTTCTTTTATACAACGTGACTATACGAATAACGGATAAATGTAGGGCAATATTTTCAAAATAAAGTTCAAAAACAAAATTCTTATTAATGTTCAAATTTCGTAAACCGTGATTTCCCTTTTAAAATAAAGAACATCAATGTATAGCAACATTTTTATAAACAAAATTGTATAACTCAAATTTAATTTTATATCCATGACATAAGGACAAAGTAGCCTACATCAGATCAATATAAAAAATAGGCCTAATTTTATTATGCTATTTTATTTAAAACCATGACATTTTAAATAGTTTATAATGCTTAACGTATATTTCAGTTCGTCTTGTCCGCATTGTTATGGCTTACTTTTCTATTGCTGTTCCAGAACCCCAAAATTAGCATTTGATCAGAGAAACTAAAAAATGGGCCTAACCCCCCTTCAGAACAGTCAAACTTAAATAAACCTCTTAATTAAAACTATTAATTTATACATTTGAGTTTGAAGTAGGCTGCTGCTGGCCTTGAGCTCTTTTAAGGGCCACAAATATTTATTTTGACGGTCACTAATGTTCACAGTGTGATACTAGCAGTATTAACTAACCGATCCATAGAGAATAATGTGAGTTTCAGTCTTATAAGAATAAATTGTACAGGGCAGGACATAAACGAGTGTGCACACATTTTAGTGATTATTTCTCTGATATCTACTACAGAATGTCACGCCAATTATCTCCTCGATTTAATAAAACGATCAGCCGGTGTATTCTTTATCCGAGGAAAGCAAAATAGAATAAAATGTAGCTTCTAAACGGAATATATATATATAGATATATATATATACACACAACAGAAGTGTTGGCCACAAAGGTTTTATTTCATACCCTTTTTTAAATGATTGATTGTTTACATAAGTTAATGTTTTATATATTCAACTGGGGCTTTGTGTTTTTACAAATATTTGAAATGTTAAAAAATATTTATAATTTAATATTATATTTATATTACATTATATTATTATAAATTATATATAAATATTAAATAGTTTATTTCTTCGAATGTTGGTTTGTATTGGAAAAATAATTTATAGTAGGCTATGGATTAGTGATGTTATTTCGATGATTAAAATATATACAGATCTGAATTTAACAATATACATTATTTTATTGATATGCATTTTTTATAATTAGGGGGAAAAAATGCTTATTATATTTTTCGTTCATTTTAAGGAATGCATTCTGTTCATAATATGACTTAAAATCTTAAAATCAAAATCTATAAACCATAATAAGCGGTATATCTACCTGGTGAACACATCAGGGTAGTGTGTTTTCTGGAAGGCCCTCTCCAGTTCCTCCAGCTGATAGCTGGTGAAGGTAGTCCTGTATCTTCTCTGCTTCCGTTTAAGCATGCCTTCCTCCGAGTCGCTGCCGGCCGACAGACACACACTGTCCTCTCCATCTTTTACATCCCCATCGTTGTGCAGGCTCTCTTCATCCTTGGGAGACAGACTGGCTTGTTTATTTCTTCGAATGTTGGTTTGTATTGGAAAAATAATTTATAGTAGGCTATGGATTAGTGATGTTATTTCGATGATTAAAATATATACAGATCTGAATTTAACAAAATACATTATTTTATTGATATGCATTTTTTATAATTAGGGGGAAAAAATGCTTATTATATTTTTCGTTCATTTTAAGGAATGCATTCTGTTCATAATATGACTTAAAATCTTAAAATCAAAATCTATAAACCATAATAAGCGGTATATCTACCTGGTGAACACATCAGGGTAGTGTGTTTTCTGGAAGGCCCTCTCCAGTTCCTCCAGCTGATAGCTGGTGAAGGTAGTCCTGTATCTTCTCTGCTTCCGTTTAAGCATGCCTTCCTCCGAGTCGCTGCCGGCCGACAGACACACACTGTCCTCTCCATCTTTTACATCCCCATCGTTGTGCAGGCTCTCTTCATCCTTGGGAGACAGACTGGCGTCTCCGCACGCCTCCTCTTTGACAACGTCCTCTTCAAACTTCAGCGTGCTGAGCTCCACCAGCTCCTGGGCCGTGTGCTCGGGGCTCTGGCCTTCATCACTCTGGCTGAAGGGCGCGTTCTCTCTGTACGACTTGCTACGGCTGATGCTGACTTGTGGCGCTTGGCTGATTTTGAGACTCTCACAGGCTTGGTCCAGCAGTCTCTCCCTCTCACCCTTCTCTAGATGCTCGTGAAACCCCCTCCCGGAGTCCAGGTACTTCCCCCCAGGGCCGTAGAGCCGGCGCAGTTTGGGCGGCAGGTGCATGTCCGCGTCAAACGAGTTCTCTTTAGAGGTGACTGGAAAAATAAAAGAATATAATATTTTTAAATGCACCAAGCACTGTTAATTAAGGCAGCATTATAAACGCACATGCACCTGTTCAGCTTTATGGATTTTGTAAATATTACGCACTCTTAAAAATGTTTTTGGTGGTTCCTACGGTTAGTAAAAATAAAAAGTTATTTTGGCAGGTTCTTCAATACTGTAAACTATATAGTCATGGCTATCAGATGGTAATTTGATATATAGGCTACCATGGTACTGAACGATTGCCATGGTAGAAAACAAGGGATTTATGATTTAATACATTTTTGTTAGCCTGATCAAAGTATTGGTCCATTAAGAAGCCATATCTTTCACAGTTTTATGAGGAACTTTAAAAGATTATCCATAAAGTTGTAAAGCATTTTGTAAAGTGTTTTAACAACCTAAGCATTTCAATGCTGCTCATTTAATTTTTTTTGTTTTTATTTGAGAGGTTCTCAAAACTTTCAGGACTTTGTTTTCACACCCAGAGGTGTTGCTTCTGACCGGGACACTATATTTGTACACATTTCTACAACTGTGAAGTCACATGCGCTCGAAATCTATTAACTGTATGCCATGTTTGTGACAAAACGTAAAACAGCATAAAAGAAATAACGTCAAAGCGTTTAGGTGCTTACCTTCAGCTGACTTGTCGTGGTCCGGTCTGACGGGTGCTGGCAAACTTTGCGCTCCCAGTTGTCTGACTTTACACGGGCTTCTTCTGCCCAGTATACTGTCTATGCAGTAGGAGGAAAGCACGGTGGGCGACTTGCTTTTACATTCGCTTCGGTCGCGGCTATCGTCGTCGTATTGACTAGTCATATTTGTATCGTCCGAGGTTGTGCTCGAGTGGGTGACTGTTACTCTCTCTCGCACTGTATCTGAAACGTCTCTCTTGCCTATCCCACCCTAGCCGCTAATGCCATATGCACTGATCCACAGTAGCTCCGCTCTCCATTCTGTTGCATTGACGTGTAACGCAAATCTGATTGGCTCCCAAGAGAACAAGGGGGATCTTTATATATTTTTCTATTAAAGTTAAACGGTATGAACTCAGCTAATGTTGTGATGGATTAGGCTACTGAATTTACTGATAAGCACCTCCACATTTAGACTGAAATTAGATTAATAAAGAAAGAACTTCAGTAAAAACTCTGAACTGAAATCAAATGATTTATCTAAACAAGTGGGAAAAACACATTCAGAAACATGTTTTATTTACCAAGATGTTGGATGTTTTATTTTTAATCATAACTCAAATATATTATTATTATTATTATATCGTGTCTTTTTAAATTTCCAAATACATAGGCTAAATAAATAAATTAATTAATTAATAATTAATAAAAATAAGAAGATATTCAAATACACTGGCATTACAAAAAATACACAAATTTATTTTATTGAGAATAATGCTGAAAGAGCATCTTGCTTTTTTACTATAATTATTTTTATTTGATGTTATACTATTTGATACTGTTCGTGCCATGCATTTATTTTTAGCAATTTAAAAAAAGAAGAAAAAAAAGGACACAGCCCGTTTGTCTAATTTTGGCTGCTCTGTCTATCTATCTGTTTAGTTGTGATGCTATATTTGATGTTATTTTACACTCTCTGTGCCATAGCCATTTCAAAAAGGAGACCCGAGCCAGTAGAGGCAAGGCCTGACCGGGTGAATCGCTCACCTGGTCCTCGTGTGCGAATACACGCACCTAGCATAATTGCCCGTCCTCTCAGAGTGAAGCGATCAGATAGCTATAGATGATTGACTTAAAAAGTGAGGGTGGTGATAATAGGCCGGTGAGGGCGTACTGCAGGCAACTAGACTCCAGAAGACTGGAGAGACAGATTGAGAATGTAATTTTAAATGAAAGTCTATTTAACCTGATGCGGATGGCATGACCCTATCCGCCGCTCAGACCCATCAATGTTAAAAGGATCATTTTCACAATTCAATCCCAAACTTGAAACGAAGCCGCAATTTACTCGCTCTTCTTCATAGGTTATATGATTCTGCTCTTGGGCTGACTGAGATTATGGTCGTGAAGAATGCTCGAGTTTAAAAACATTTGTGAAAGTTTTGATGTTTGGTCTTAATTGGACTTTGATATAGGCCTATATCAGCTTCATAAACAACACTGAACATACACTACGACGATTTCTTATTTTTTTTCCCTCTGAAACTTAATCACCAAGCAGATCAACAGAAGAGAGTAATGACAATAATAACAATATAAGACATTTTTTCTCGTTCCCAAACAGGCGCGTAATGCAGACGGGTATTTAAAGTCGCTATGTAATTTGGGGGCACAATTTGATTCATTTATACGCGCTCTGTTATTAACCCAAGAAAAGAAATGTCAGGGACTATTACCGCCAGCAGGACATCCGCGCTTTGTTTAAATGCACTAATTACACGCACGCATTTTTTTTTTTTAAAAAGCGCAATTTTCCCATATTCAGTCCTGAATCTATTTAGCGCTCTACGTGCAGGCAGGCAAGCTGTTAGTGGGTGCCAGTCAGTTTCACGCTCCTCTATTACCCGATACCACAGTGTGTCATATTTTCACAACAGCCTAACTTGATAATTTCTACAATCGTCTTCTGTTTTGCAGGGTTTACATGGCCCATAATCCGTTGGGTTTTGGCTACGCTTATGCAAACCACCCCCTGTTCCGATAACAAGAAGCTTTTCTCAAACTGTAAGTAACAGTAGGTGACACTTTATTTCGTTTCGGTGATGTTATACCAACAGCTCAACAGCTGTGTCTTAGAGTGTCTAAATCCCTAATATAGACCCCATCACTCCCACGTTTTCAAGCAGCGCCATCTCCTGGTGTTCAGAAAAGCGCTCAGGGATAAATCCAGTCGGTTGAGCAAAAAAACTAAACGAGAACTGCATCTTGATTGACGCTATTTTAAATCATCAGTTGTAATTCATGTGGAAAGTTTCCGCCACATTTCGTTTTGATGGTGGATAATCACGGATAATTGCATATTAATTTAAAAAAATGTATTTTTATCTATCTATCTATCTATCTATCTATCTATCTATCTATCTATCTATCTATCTATCTATCTATCTAATCTGCCATCTCAAAACATACATGAGCAGGAATATCAGATTATGAATTAGTTGGTGGTAGAGGTTACTGGTTAGCGGCTCACTGTTGAATTTAGCAGCCACACTGATGACAGTTGTGCTCCAGAGGTGGTGTGTCTTCATTCCTGTTGCTGTGACTTAATTGGATGCTGCTCTGCTTGAAAGGGCGAACAAAAAGACGTGCTCTCAGACGCGCGCGTAAGCAAAGTTAATTAGTGGTTATTAACACCACGCATAATGAGAGCGCGAGGGAGTCAATTTAATGACTTTGTTAGCTTAAGTTTAGAATGACAGTCGATGATCGGAACAACAATAGCAAACTAGAACGCAATGATCATCTGTAATTTTCAACAGTAATACGCACTAATAAAAACAAAAGGACTCTAATTTTGTTCAACTGACTCGATAATTTGAATTTATTTAAAAAGAGGGAGAGAAGGATGAGGAAAGACAACTCAAACATTTAAACCAAAGATTATCCTGCCGTTGTAGACACAAGTAAATAGGATTACAATTGTTTTATTGCTTGCATGCCAAATTATTTTTTATTGGTAGGCTTTCAGAACGATTCCTCTGTGCAGACTGAGTGATAACACTTGATTTTGCTCCATTTTCATCCCTAAATACTTTCTGGCATCCATAAGGAATCAAGAGTCTGCAGCTCACAGACATTATTTGCATGCATGACTTGCATTGGGCATCCAAGTTCACAACCCCATGACCAGCAATCATTTAATGTTTGAGTTAATTAGCAAAATTACATTTTGTGAGTTAAGTTTACTAACAATCACAGCAGGCCCAAATTTTGATTTGTGCTTCATGCTTTGATTTGATTCGAAATAAAGTCAAACACTTTGTGCTGACATATGAGTGAATAAATGAAAGATTGTTTATTTTTTAATAAATACTTCTTTTAGTGTTGGGCATTGCATTGTTAATGTTCACATGAGTAAGTCAATAGTATGAGGCAAATGCCTTGTCCAAATACCCGCACTTGCGGTCTTGACCACTTGAGAACGCGTGCGCAAGACTGTCCCAGGTCTTAAAACCGCCAAAGCACAGTGCCCTTTAACGCACACTAAATCCACACTATCTCGAATACCGCTCCGGAGCGCTATTCGAGGCTTAGTGTATCCCATCATGCATCATGTTCTGGAAATAAATCGTGAGACTTTTTACCGATATCGCGCAAGAGGTAACGGAAACCTTTCCAGTGTAAGTTAGATATTAATACAATAAATAGATATTACATATAATTTGGTAGAAAAACTAAGTGTTGCACGTTTTATTGGTGTAAAGATGAGTAGTGGTATTTATTTTGTAAACATTTGCAACTTTTTATCACTTAATTAGAAAATTAAATTCTGTCATGCTATAGGGACTACTGACTGAACAGACATTTAGAAGTTGATTTTAAAATGCAAAGTATTTCAAATTAAAATAACACTATGTAAACACTTGCATTTTTACAACACTATAAGTGTGTCCCATCAGGTAATGAAAAGTTCAACACACACTTGTGGTCTTCATCCTTACTTGAACACTTGGGCCAAATACAGGAAATACGTCATATAAGTGGTCAAGTGCAAAGACCACAAGTATGGGTATTTGGCCAAGGTATAAATAAATTAGGTGCCAATTGGCTTTTGCGGTCGAGAGGGTTGATTGGGAAACACCCACAACTGTATATGGCATCATCACGAAGACGAACTATATGTTTATACGTAAAATTCTGAGATGGTCCTCACTGCAGAACACAAGATCCAGGGGGCGTGGTTAGATCCAGATCCAGCTCCTCCCACCTTACATATACCTAAACCTACCCGTCTCCACCCCCAGATTCCTAAACCCACCCACCTCCACCCCCTAGATGTGGATCCAACCACACCCCTGGATCTTGTGTTCTGCAGTGAGGGGCTACTGGAAATTCTGGAGAGGACGTCGGATGGCGTCACGTGGGGACGTAATTACGTGTGCCATTAATCGATGTACTATAACATGTAAAAAATGGGAACATGTAAGGAATATTCTAAAAGCAACTCATGTAAACACCTTAATCATAATATTGTCTTATTTAGAATAAGGTAAATAATTAGATTACTGATGTCCATGTAAACAGTCATTGTCTGTGACCATTGTCAAAAAACGTTTTTAATATCACTTCAACTTTACCTCACCACACAGGTGCTTCCTATATCCTTAAGACCATTAAACAGAAACCTGTCTTCTAACAAAGTCATTGTTATGCAAATGAATCAATTTTTAGCTTACTTTTGATATAGCCTATACTCTCAAATAAGAATGGCATGCACTTTCTCTTAAACTGAACTTTTCCTTCGAAAAACGAGAGATACAAGCAGTAGCATGGGGAAAAACGCAAGACGTCGAGATTTTTAAAAGTTGAACTTTTTAGTTCTTTAGCGTTTTTAGAATGCTGGGACGCTGCAGCGCAACAGTCAAACACATCCGGGGTTTTTTTGTTAAACACATCCGTCTACTGCGTGTTTACATAACAACAATGGAAAAGTAGCGCTGTGGAATGGGAAAACGCGTTCTGTGTGAACGGCCCCTTTATTCAGCGACTTTCAGGTGGGTCAAATAAAGCAATAAGCCCTGTGAAGCCGTGGTTTACAGTGAATTTATAACAGCTAAGGGGCGTTGTTTAAAGCCCCTTAGCTGTTATAAATTCACTGTAACCCACGGCTTCACAGGGCTTATTGCTTTTAAAAAATGGTTATTCCATATATGTAGCAAGGTTTCACAAAATAAAACAGAGCAAATAAAGTGTAATGATATTAATAAAAACATTATT